TATATATATATATATATATATATATGGGTTAACCCAATTAACCCGTTTAAGCTTATACTAAATAAGTTCTTTCGTGTTTATATTGTACACGTTAAGCCAAATGATGAATGATATCTTTCTCAATTTGGCATACACGCTACACATATAAGGAAATAAGGAATTAGGGATAAAGAAAATCAAGGGTTTTTTTCCTCTCATTTGTTTTGTTGCTAAAATGTTAAACTTTTGCTCGTGACATGAATTTTATGATCGAGTGTTTCAACTAGTTGCATTGTCATGTCAATTTATAAACTAACTAATTACAAGTTACAACAATGCAATAAAGATGACATATTTGTCAACACGGCTAATCCAATGTGTTAGGAGTGGGGTTACATGCCCCCAATGGAAATTTCCAGATTAATGCTTTCTTATAATAAGATTAGAATGCAACATAAAATAATACATAGTGCCCTCAATGCTTTGGATAACTTTTGCTTGGTAATGACTAATTTAAGTTCGGAGAAGCTTCAAACCTTTTTAATGGCAGAATAAGGACAACCAAAGGAAGCCAAAATAATCGCCGGAGAAGAAGCAATAGTATTAGGGTTGCTCGGTTGAATGTCCTATGTTTGGCCCAAAGGCATACATATAAAATAAAAAAAAATAAAAAAAATAAAAAAACAATTGATTTTTATTCTTATTGTATAAACGAGTTGAGATTACTATATCAGCGTTGATATTAATCAATTATTACTATATTAGCATTGATATTAATCAATTTTTATTCTTAGTCATGATGAATATTAATAGTTGGTTTGTGATCCAACGGTTTTGACCCGGCCCGATTATTTTTACTATTTGAACAACCTAAAGCCCCCAACAAAGAAAACTCTTCTATAAGCTACTTTTGTCACAAGCTATGTTTCAATTGAATCATGTACAAACTACGTAAAGAATGAACTTTTAAAAACTTCACACTTTAGGTCCTTATACTTGTAAGTTATTTGCTAAAATAAACCAGTTTTTTTTCAATTCTATTTTTAATCCGATTAACCCGATCCAGCTAACTCTAACCCAACTAACCCGAACCTTAATAGGGTCAGGTCTATGGTGAATTTTTTTAAAAACCCGACTAACCGGACCAGTTTAACCGGAAACCCGATCGGGTTGACCCGAATTATAGCCCTACATAGACAAACAAAACTAGTTGTAATGTATCAATTCCAGCTTCTCCCAAACTCATGTTTCCACACACAACAATGGAGCTTAATTTTCGTTAGGGTTTGGCTTAAAAACTTGATGTCTCGTAGCATTACACATTAAACATTAAGTTAGAGACAACCTCGCCTATGCTAGAATTAGGTTACAATGATCTAATTTCAACCCTTTTTAACCTCCAAACATTAAGCTACAAAGTACAAAGAGATTAAATGGACCACAAAATTTTACCATAAGAAAAAGACTAAAAATACTTCTTTAATAAAGGGACTAGGAATCGTAATCGTTTGAATACACTTCATACAATCAAAATTGGTTTGACTTGATTTATGAATGGTTTATTCTCTTACACAAGAAAAACGAAATTCTTGAAACCACATTCCACACAATAATCCAAAGCTACACTACACATCCTAATAATCAATGTAATAACATAAATTCTTTTCATCATTACCATCACAATCATTCAATCTTTAATTTCTAGTAATTATATAATCTAAACATCTTCACAACATACTCTTAAACCTCCAACAAACTCACAAAGTACACAAAAACCAAAAAAAAAACTGTACACCAAGTAAGACCAAGTAAAAAGACTATTACACCCCTCAAACACGAAGAGAAGCGGAAGGTCTAGGATAAGCAACCACGGGTCCCACCTCTTGTCTACAAGAGCTTGCTTTTTTAGCCGACGAGCCACCACCACCCGCAGCCACGCCACGGTGCACCGGTGGGTCCCTACGGTCACGTTTATCAGTGTCTTGAAGGTCTTGTAGGGTGGAGACGACTTCATCCATATTTGGTCTCAGTTTGGGTTCCATGGAAAGACATTGAAGTGCCAGGCTGGCGACTTTGAGGGCCCGCCCAAGTGAGTATTGACCCTCGAGACGTGGGTCCAGGACCCGGAAGATTCTTCTTTTGTTTGTGAGACATGGTTTTGCCCATTCCACTAAATTGTGTTCACCCGTTGGTCTGTTTTTGTCTATTGCTTTTTTCCCTGATAAGATTTCCAAAAGGACTACTCCAAAGCTGTATACGTCACTCTTTGCAGTTAAATGACCTTTTCAAAAAATAGAACAAAATTATAGTAGTGAAAATACTGTAATAGGAATATAGATTAATAGTAGATATTTACCTGTGGATAAATATTCAGGAGCAGCATAGCCATAGGTTCCCATAACCCTAGTGGAAACATGACTTTTATCACCAGTTGGTCCATCTCTTGCCAATCCAAAATCAGATAATTTTGCATTGAAGTTCTGTTGACCAAAGTCAAAGTTAGAAATTTGGATATGGATTAAACAATACACACAAATCATATATTCATTTTTTTATAAAATGTAAACAACTTACAAAATGAAAATGCTAAATAGTTGCTTATTCAACTAGAGTGCAATTTGAGCCTATTTGAGGGATTAGGGGTCAACTTGCATCATTTAATCTAGAGTAAATTACACGAATGGTCCCTATGGTTTGGGGTAATTGCACGTTTGGTCCCTAACTTATTTTTTTTAACTCGGAAGGTCCATACAATTTGTTTTTGTTGCGCGCTTGCTCCCTGTCATACCTAAAAAGACTATTTTGCCCTTGATTTTTTAATTTATTTAAATAAGGTGGGGTAGGTAAGGTAAGGTAAGGTGAGATGGAAGTGGGGTTGGGGGTGTGTTTATTTAAATAAATTGAAAAATCAAGGGAAATAAAATCTTTTTAGGTAAGACAAGGACCAAGCACCCAACAAAAACAAACAGTAGGGACCTTCCGTGTTAAAAAAAATAAGTTAGGGACCAAACGTACAAATTACCCCAAACCATAGGGACCATTCGTGTAATTTACTCTTTAATCTAACTTGTAAAATTAAAAAAATTGCTAAAAGGAAAACTAAATTTTAGGGACCCTACCCAAGGATGAATATAGAAGGGCAAAATTGTCATTTAGCATGGACTTAATTGATGCATTGTTTAGTTAGGGGGCATCCTTGCAACAAACCAAACATTGTGACTAAATCCATAACTTTTGACATAGAACAAGGACGAAAGTTGTAATTTACTTTCTCTAATATTGGTTTTAGCAACCATATTTAATAATCAGTTATTTGTAAAAATGAAAAGACAAGAAAGTGATGATGGGTCAACCCAAATCATTTGACACAACATTTCTGACATGCTCAAAGATTCAACAAATAAGATGTAAAAAAAAAATCATACCGAATCAAGGAGAATATTTGAAGTCTTGAAATCTCGATATATCACCATTGTTTCAGCATTATGAAGAAAAGCAAGACCTTTTGCAGCTCCAAGAGCAACTTTCATGCGTAGACGCCAAGAAAGAGGTTGAAAATAAGAACCTCCTGTTTTGTATGATATAAAATGTCAATATAAATGATAAATCCAAGTAGAATGTTAGTAAATGAAAATCCAGTTGACTTACTCCTAAATAAATGATTCTCCATACTACCCTTTGGCATAAACTCATATGCAAGAAGCCTGTGATCATCTTCTAAGCAATAACCAATCAATCTCACAAGATTAGGATGGCGTAATTGTCCAAGATAGTTGATTTCTGCCTGCAAAAGTAACAGATTTGTATATTGAGAAGCTAAAACTTATGGATAGTTAGGTAATTTCACAATTTGCATTGAAGATTGATCCCAGTTTATGAAAAGAGATTAAATGAGAAAGAAAGTGAAAAGAACTAACCAACCACTCCTTGTGTCCTTGAAATCCTTCTTGATTCAGTCTCTTTACAGCAATTACAATGCCAGTTCCTGGCTTTGAAGCTGCAAGTGAATGTTCATCTACCCATCCTTTGAATACAGAACCAAAGCCACCTTCTCCTAATACACTGTCTGGACGAAAGTTTCTTGTGGCGTTTTTAAGCTCACTGAAAGTGAAGCTTTTTAAGTTGGATGATTGCAAGATCTCACCTTCACTTCGAGGTGTATGTGATTGAGAACCAGAAGAAACTTTGCTGCTTGAATTACTATTCCCATTTCTTTCTGCAATCTTAGAGTCGTCACCTATGGCAATAAATAAAATTTGAATAAGTAATAGTAACTTAGAAAGTAGAAACTAATCCAAAATCATAAGATATAATTATGCCTAAATGATTACTACTTCATTACTAAAGTTGAAAAGATTTCCCTTTTAGGATGTATATATATCTACTGACACTTTACTTTTTCTAACTGAGTTTAAAATCATGTCGCTTGACAACTAACTGTCCATTTTTATCCATCCATATGAATCTAAGATAAGAGGAGAAAAAGCAGTAAGATCCATAGAAGCAAGTGCTCAATTCAATAAAATGAGTTCTAATTTCATACTAATTAGTAGAAATTAACAAGTAAGAAGAAGTAATTACCAGTAGAAAATGCGCTCTCGGCTTTAATTTGGATGCTCCAACAAATCCCCATTATAAATATTCCAAAACCCTAGTGCAGATCACGAACGAAGCTTATTAGCTTTTTCTGGCATAAAAACCCTACAAATACATATCCTCCACAAAATCCGAATTAAATCCGGGTTGTTCAGCTAACAGCAACAATAATCCTTGGATCTGCTGCGAATCTCCTTTTCTCTCAGATCTCTAACTCAAAAATCGATAGGTTTCAGCTTTCCAACTTCACCACCAACCTCCAATTTTCTTCTTCCACCTTACTTGCTTGATTGGAGATAGATTTTTTGTTTTTGCAGAGAATCAAAACAGATGAGAGAGAGAAAAGGGTATTTTGTAGCTGTTTCCTGTTTGTTTTTGCAGGGAGATGAGATGCTTCCTTTAAAGAATTCCCCTTTTCGAGACTTTTGGTGAAGTTTGGTTGACTCAGCTTATGGCGTCTTGTTTCAGCTTACTTCCAAAATTGGAGCAGCAGTAGTAGTTAGAAGAAAACTTTGCATAATTAGTCCTTCTATTTAAGCCATATGGCATCATCAGTCCTTGTTATGTTAGTTGTATTGTTTGATTGCTTGCATTTAATATTGTGGAGGTTTGAAATATAGTTGTCAATTTAACTGTTTTATATAAAAATGAGTTAATTTGGGATAGTAATTTATAGATAAGATAAAGAGCTTTAGACAATATAAAAAATAGGTATAAACGGGTTAGAAGTTGCTTAAAAATTAAAATGTTTTTACATCTTATGAATCTTATACTTCATTTTATTGAAATGAATTAGAATACCATTTTCATATTATAGTATTTGAATATATATATCATTTATTTACAAAAATTAAATACTAGACGAAAAGAAATTATTAGGTCAACTAGTTTCAATTTGTTTTCCCACAATAGTCACCCGTCTCACCTCTTGTTTTGCCACAACTAGTTAAGGAAATGTGAAGTTGATTCATTTTAGGTTTTATATAGATTTCCTATATAACAAGCACTTACTGGTAAAGTTTTACATATTTATCATTATTGTCGTTTTGACACTTTATATCATCATATAAGTCATAAGAGAGAAGTCAATAAGCCTTTGTTAAATAAATTGTTGTCATGATCATGAGGCTATTTACAAACTTAAACCAGATTCTTCGATATCTTTTCTATAACATCATATGTTCAAAAGTATTATGTTTTTATCATGTTTTGATGAACACAATGCCTACATTATTGCAATAGATTTTCTCGAATTCTTATCAAAATAAAAATGACTAATATATCATGAAACCAGAAGAAGTTGAAATCTAGCCAACATGTTTTGATCTACATTTTGGTTTTATTTTTTCATATGTGCTTCTTTTGAGCTCGAGTTAATAGAGCTTTGTGTGACATGAAAATTAAAAAATAGTTTAATATCTAACAGATGAGCAACTCATCTAGTTACTTTTTTAATAGATCTATAGTAAACATAAATAAAGAAAACTTATTTGTTTATTTAAACATATAAGTAACTTTTAGTTTGCATTTAAAACAAGTCAAATATATATATATATATATATATATATATATATATTTTGCATTTGAAACAAAAATAAAAACATTGTAATAGCATGAATCATTAATAATATAGTAATCATTACGCATACCGGCTAGTAATACTTTAGATAAGATAATATCAAATACTTTAGTTGTATTGAATAAGTAGAATTAAAATGGATTTTGTAATTAATACTATAGTGAGAGGACGAAAAACGAAATATGTTTTTGATGAGGGGCCATATCTATAAAACTTTGTTAACAGCGGGCTTAATGATAATAAAAGGAGTGTTGAGTGATGGAACAAATATTCTGTAGCAGATTTGCCTTTTATTCTTGTTGAAGGTTGACTATAAGTCAAAGTTAGGCTCGTACATTGGCTTCGTGGAAGCCAGATGTGTCATCTCGAGAGTTGGACTTTACTTTTAATCATACTGGGCTTTTAACATGGGCCTTATTTGACAATTTTATAATAATATAATTAAATTATTGATATATGATATTAAAAATAATATATTAAAATAATTATATCTTTATAAATTATTTAGAGTTAATAAAATTTTATATTAAAATGTTATAACACATTATATTTATTTTAAAAATATGATAAAATAGATAGATATTAAAACGACATAGTAGCCGCTATCAGTAAGTTTCATATGAAAATAAAAAATATATATATTTCATGATTTTTATCAATTTTTTTAACTATTAATAGGTAATCAATTTAGATAGACATTTTTTGTGCTCATGCAATTCAATGGAATATATGCTTAGGTTGCGTGTCGATTTGAAATTTCAATATAGTTGTGATATTTAATATTATATTTAAATTTTTATTATTTTAAACAATTAAGAAAATATTTTTAAAAAAAATACTATTATAAAAAATAATTTTTAATCAAATTTTTTTTTGTTAATTTGACATTTAAATTTTAGTTGTATATAATAAATACTAGGTTACAACCCTAGGTAAAAGATTTATAAAATTTTATTAAATTATAAGATAGTATAAGTTTTGTTTAGAAATAGAAATTAAAGAAATAACAACATAATTTTATTTTTTTAATGTATAAGATAAAGTTTTATTAAATTAAGATATAAGTTTTGTATATTAATTAATGTCTGTTCATGTCTATATGATATCTAGTAGAACGAATGAATATTTGATCACTTATAATAAGACCAATGTCTGTTCATTTCAGAGTTCGGTAGTTGCTATGGAAGCACTCTGTGCTGTTTAATTTAGAAGTTATACTAGTAATTGCAGTTATAGACTTATCCAAGTGGGAGACTGTTGTATCAGGTGTCTAAGCCAATAATTGAATTAGTATAATCTTGAATTATTAACAAATTCATTTTGGGTTGCCCTCAAACCTAGTAATTGAATAGCATGACTTTTAGACAGACCTGATTTATTGATTTATTATTTGATTAAAAAATATCAATAAATGAGTTATTAATATGTTATGAAAATAATATATTAATTAGAAATAGTAATATTTAATTAATAATTAATCAGAAATTAATTAGCTTAATTTTGGGATTAATTGTATTAATTAAAAGTGCAAGGGTTAAAGTAAAATTGTTGAATAGTTGAACAAGAATGTCACACCCCAAAACCGGAACGGCGGAAACGTTCTGGGGCGGAGGACGTCATGTACAGTATCATAA